TTGGGATGGGCACAGGGGGCACAGGGGTTGGGAATGGGCACAGGGGTTTGGAAATGGGCACAGGGGTTGGGAATGGGCACAGGGAGCACCGGGTACCCGTCCAGAGCCGACTGGCAGAGGGATTTTGGGAATGCTCAGGGGGGTTGGGAATGGGCACAGGGGGTTGGGAATGGGCACAGGGATTTGGGATGGGCACAGGGGGCACAGGGGTTGGGATGGGCACAGGGTTTGGGAATGGGCACAGGGGGTTGGGATGGGCACAGGGAGCACTGACCCATCCAGAGCCGACTGGCACAGGGATTTGGGATGGGCACAGGGGGTTGGGAATGGGCACAGGGGGTTGGGATGGGCACAGGGGTTGGGAATGGGCACAGGGAGCACTGACCCGTCCAGAGCCGACTGGCAAAGGAATTTTGGGAATGCTCAGGGGGGTTTGGGATGGGCACAGGGGGCACAGGGATTTGGGATGGGCACAGGGGGGTTAGGATGGGCACAGGGATTTGGTATGGGCACAGGGGTTTGGGATGGGCACAGGGGTTTGGGATGGGCACAGGGAGCACTGACCCATCCAGAGCCGACTGGCACAGGGATTTGGGATGGGCACAGGGATTTGGGATGGGCACAGGGGGTTGGGAATGGGCACAGGGGGTTGGGAATGGGCACAGGGATTTGGGATGGGCACAGGGAGCACTGACCTGTCCAGAGCCGACTGGCAGAGGGATTTTGGGAATGCTCAGGGGGGTTGGGATGGGCACAGGGGGCACAGGGGGTTGGGATGGGCACAGGGGGCACTGGGTACCTGTCCAGAGCCGACTGGCAAAGGAATTTTGGGAATGCTCAGGGGGGTTGGGGATGGGCACAGGGGGTTGGAATGGGCACCGGGGGCACTGACCCGTCCAGAGCCGACTGGCAGAGGGATTTTGGGAATGCTCAGGGGGTTTGGGAATGGGCACAGGGGGCACAGGGGTTTGGGATGGGCACAGGGGGTTGGGATGGGCACAGGGGGTTGGGAATGGGCACAGGGGGTTGGGATTGGCACAGGGGATTTGGGAATGGGCACAGGGGTTGGGATGGGCACAGGGGGCACTGACCCATCCAGAGCCGACTGGCAATGGGAATTTGGGAATTCTCAGGGGTTGGGAATGGGCACAGGGGTTGGGATGGGCACAGGGATTTGGGATGGGCACAGGGGTGTTGGGATGGGCACAGGGGTTTGGAAATGGGCACAGGGTTTGGGAATGGGCACAGGAGGTTGGGAATGGGCACAGGGGGTTTGGAAATGGGCACAGGGGGCACAGGGATTTGGGATGGGCACAGGGAGCACCGGGTACCCGTCCAGAGCCGACTGGCAAAGGAATTTTGGGAATGCTCAGGGGGGTTGGGATGGGTACAGGGGGTTTGGGAATGGGCACAGGGGTTGGGAATGGGCACAGGGATTTGGGATGGGCACAGGGGGCACAGGGGGTTGGGATGGGCACAGGGAGCACTGACCCGTCCAGAGCCAACTGGCAGAGGGATTTTGGGAATGCTCAAGGGGGTTGGGATGGGCACAGGGGGCACAGGGGGTTGGGATGGGTACAGGGGGTTTGGGAATGGGCACAGGGGTTGGGATGGGCACAGGGGTTGGGAATGGGCACAGGGGTTGGGAATGGGCACAGGGATTTGGGATGGGCACAGGGGTTTGGGATGGGCACAGGGGGCACTGACCCGTCCAGAGCTGACTGGCAAAGGGATTTTGGGAATTCTCAGGGGTTTGGGAATGGGCACAGGGGGGTTAGGATGGGCACAGGGTTTGGGATGGGCACAGGGATTTGGGAATGGGCACAGGGGGTTGGGAATGGGCACAGGGAGCACTGACCTGTCCAGGACTGACTGGCAAAGGAATTTTGGGAATGCTCAGGGGGGTTGGGATGGGCACAGGGGTTGGGAATGGGCACAGGGGGCACAGGGAGTTGGGATGGGCACAGGGGACACAGGGATTTGGGATGGGCACAGGGAACAGTGACCCGTCCAGGGCCAACTGGCAATTCCAGGAGTTGGGAATGGTCAGAGGGGTTTGGGAATGGTCAAAGGGAATGTTCAGAGGGATTCAGGAATGTTCCAAGTGATTTGGGAATGGTCAGGGGCATTTGGGAATTCCAGGGAATATGGGGGATTTGGGAATGGTCAGGGGGATTTGGGAATGGTCAGGGGGATTTGGGAATTCCAGGGAATATGGGGGATTTGGGAATGGTCAGAGGTACTTGGGAATGTTCAGGCAGATTTGGGAATGCTCAGGGGGATTTGGGATTCCCAGGGGGATTTGGGAATGCTCAGGGGGATTTGGGAATGTTCAGGCAGATTTGGGAATGGTCAGGGGGATTTGGGATTCTCAGATTTGGGATTCCCAAGGGGATTTGGGAATGGTCAGA